CAGGCAGGGTACTAAAGTGGTATGCTACATCACTTCAGCCTGAGTAGCTGCCATATGCCTAATTCATACGCTGACACTTTTGGTTCAGGAGACCCTAGCCATGGCCACACATCCTGTCCTGGTCTGGCAGTGGAGAAGAAAAAGGATAGATCTGTTGTTTGAAGTACTGTGGTCCTTAACTCAGAGAGCTCAGTGTAATAATTCTTACCTTCTGCTGTAGCTTGCTGGTGCCTGCGCAGAGCTGCTGGGTTGCTCACACAGTTGTGAGTCTCCTGTTCTGGTTCATCTCCTCTCAGCCTCCGAGCCTAGTCCTGTGTCAGTGCCCAGCATCTCAGTGTCTCTGGTAAGAGCCTAGTGCATGGCTCTCCTGGTCTTGCTCTTGGGGACGTGTTTGTCAGCCTTGCTGCCCACCTCACCCTGGCTCTCCAGTGTACCCCTGCTCTATGTAAACTACTGGTTTTCCCATTCCTCTTCCAAACTGCTTTGTGTCCAGAGAGTCCTAATTTTCCTTTGTCAATGTGCTGTTCCAGGAGCTGCATTGAGGTGTCACCACAGCTCTTGCAACAGAAGGGGAGAGCTCACATTCCCCTCCCTGGATCCCCTCATCTGTCCTCCATTTTCCAGCAGCACTGGGTGCTCATCAGACCCTTCATGTGACCCAGCTTTAATGAGTTTAAATAACAAAATTGTACCAGCAAAATAGTTTTCTTCGTGGAAAGTAACTGAAATGGGCTTGTGGAAGAAGGGCCGAGCACATGCAAAGGGGCAGGGAGAACAGTGCAGCAAGGACTGGGGAAGCAGCAGGAGCAGTTCAGACCCCTTCATCCTCTACATCCCTTTTGGGGGATGTTCCCTTAGGGGTCAGTTGCTTTAGAGACCCTCTTAGTGGTGATGCTGCTGCAAGAGATGTGGGTTCCTAGAGCTGCTCCTAACTGGTTTCAGCACAGTCCCATGTGGATTCAAAGCGTATGTGTAAGCATAGCTTCACAAAGAACAATTAGAAATTGTACTTTTTTCCCTCTGAGCCCTGTTCTGTGGTTCCTGTATCTGCTCTCTTCCCAAAGCTTTATTTTGGGCAGACTGTTTGTACAGCAATGAAAAGAACAACCCTGGAAAAAAGTTGCATTCCTAACACATTTCAAGTCTGTTTTGAAATAACCAGGGAACAAAATCCCTCAAATAAACATTTTCTGGAATTTTCTATGCAAACAGGTTATGTATTTTTTCCCAGCCATTGATCTTGGAAAGAGCTCAACACACAATTTTTTTAATTGATCTTTGGGCTCAATAAAATGATAGGTGATATGTAAGACCAGGCAGTTAGTTGCAAGGTTTATAATGAGTTTTAGTAGAAGATAATGCTGCTATCCCCAGCTGTAACCACTGAAAGAGCTGACAAGCAGCATTTCTATTCTTTTATCTTAAAATTTCTAACTTCTTTTTTCATTTCTACTAAAAGATGACTGAATGTTTTTATTTGGATTCTAACAGGTTGTGTAAACTAGGATTTAAAAACTTTTGCATGCAGCCCATTGGGAGAAAAAACAGTTGGACACGGAGTGTATCATGTACCTTTTCATGGCAATGCACTGGTTTTAATTGTCGGAGGGGGGAATCAGGTTTGTATATTTGAGTTGAGAAAGAACAAACGAATTAGGAAGTTGGGATATAGTACACAATATTCTGATACACTATCTGTGTATATATTAATAAGTGACAGGAAAAGGCATAGTGATTTCTGAATAGAAAACATAATTGTGATTTTTTTTTAAAGAGTATTCAGTCATAAACTTTTATGGGGTAACTTGTACGTGTTGCTTCCTCTCTCCATCAGTACCTCTGAAATAGCTGTGCACCTGTAGTCTACTCTAGGACAAGGTGAAGGGGATTTATAGTAACACTCCCCTTGTTTTTAATAACCTTAAACATGAATGTAGCAGTAGTAACCTGTGATTGGCAGGAGGGAGGAAAGAAAGGAAGGGAGGGAGGTGGCATGTCGGGAAGTCTGAAAGTACTCCAGTGCTGTGATGGTCAGGGGGCTGTTATCCACTCTTCAGTCACTTGTTGCCTGGGAGACAAATGTAATCCAGGGATTTTGTTTTTTCCCCTTCTTCCGTACTGGTTTTTGACTGGAGCCACTATTGACTTTTGGCTTGGAGGAGGTAGTGAAGCAGCATGCCAAATGTCATAAAATGGAAATTAATCACTAACTGATGGGTCTGAGTTCCAATGATTTCCTTTCCTGTGATTGCTCTGTATATGGGAGTACTAATGACACATCTAAACAGACAGTTAACGGAGGTCTTCACACCTCTGCCAGTCAAGGAGGATTCTTAACTGAATGGCACTTCAGTTTTCTTTTTATTTATGTTCTAATGTGTGATTGTGGAAAACCTAAAGTAACAATCTGAGAAAGGGAACTTTGCATGGTTGGAGAGCATTATCTTAAACTGCAGTGCTAAATTATAAATCAGCTCAGTTGCAGTGAAAATAGGGCAAATCTGCCTTCCCAGTGTTTCATTTAACAAGGAGTGTAATTGTTCTCAATACTTCTTGTGTGAGAGAGTTTCTGGTTTTCAGTGAGATTATTTTTGGCTTTTGCAAGAATATGGGCAAGCCAAACAAATTTAACTTAACAATAATGAAAGGTTTTGAAGTTACTCTTCAGTAGTGACTTCATCTTGCAAGGTCCTCAACTTGAACTAACTCTGATGAGTTTTGGGGAGTAATCTTTTCAAGGCAGATGAAAAGTCTGTCTTGGAAGTAAATGAGAAAAAAAACCCCAAACCTTAGGGAAGTTTGGAAACAATAAGCTGTGTTCCAGTAAGTACAAATAAGGTAGATGGTATTTAAGCATAGCTTTTTTTTAAAGCTTATCCCATGCTGTAAGGAATAAGGAATCCAGCAAAGGTTTTCTCCTGAAAAATGTTCCTAGTTTTGCACATTGCTTGCTTAAAAGGAAATTTTACGTTGTTCTTGCTGTGGCTCTTGGATGGAGCATAGAAGTGGAATTTGAGAGGTTTGGATTCTATTTTTGACTCAGTCCTTTGCCTAAAAAGTCACTTACTAGGCTTATGTCAAGTCTCTGGCTCATTGTCCCGTATTTGAAAGGGCTAAACACAACAACCTCCTTTTTGTAAGCTGGTTTGAGGTATGTGGCACACAGCTTCTAACACTGACACCAGCAGCAGATCATTCAGTCATCTGCTGTAGTGTTTTACCGAGATAAAAGCCCAAGAGTCTTGCTTGCTCATGTTCTCTAGCCCCTTGAATCTATGCTTTTTTGACCATGCAAGGGCACCACTTCAGGTCAAGAACAGGGAGATGTCTCCCCATAGACTCTTCAGTGGCCTTCTGGTAGGGCGCCCTTCAGAGAAAGGGTTGAGATGGGCTTGAGCCTTGCTACCCTGGAGAGGCTTCACCCCATGTTCCTGGTTCCACCAGAACAGTGTGGAGAAGGTGGCTCCCTCTTCATGTCCTCCATCAGATGTGCTTGTGTCTGACAGAAAGTGTTTGCAGCTCCTGTATGTTGTGCCAGCCCCTCACCTTTTCTTTAAAGCCAAGTCTGACAGTGCTGTGAACTTGGCCAGATGCTCTCACACAGCCATCCATTTTTCCATTTTTTGGGGGGGGGGTGGAGAATTTACAGCTGATTTGCTGTCTTTAAGCTTGGAAAGAGATCTGTAAGCACTTTGCACATTGTGCTGTGTATCGCATCCTAAAGCAGTCTGTGCAGTAGAGGAGCACTTACAAGTTGGTACGGCTCCACAAATATGACAAGTTTTTGAAAGGAAGCAAGTGTCCAGTTTTGGTCTTCCTTGTGGCTCTAGAAAATAGTATCCCGCTTTTGGTGTGGGTTTGTGTGTGTGCGTGCTTGTTCTTCAACACATGAAACTGAAAGCCTTGCTCCACTTACAGAAGTTGGAGTTGGAGAAGGGGATAGTCCTGGGCTGAAAAGTGGCTAGAGGTGGTAGTGCAGCCTCCCCTGCCTGTTCCAGAAAACATCAACTAAAAACCTTATCCTAATGCCTTGAAAGACTGCCAGTGGAGTTCAGTCAACAGTTAGGATTGGTGTTTATTGTTAAGTGTGCTCAAGCAGACCAAGGCTGCTCCTGAGCTATCATCTTGTATGGTTTCCTAGTGGAATATGAGGGAAAAGTAATTTTTCTGTTTGAGAACTCAGACAAAACAATTCAAAATATCTGCACCCTGACCTCTGATGGGATTGAGATAAGAACTGAAATTGCACTGCTTGTAACTGCAGAATAAATACTGGATTTTAGTGTAGTCCTCACATTACAGATTGACTGCTTGAGTTGCTCTGTGTGTCCAGAAAGGGTAATTACAGTAACTGTTGTTTCAACCGATCACAATTTCACAGCATCCTTAAATGATTTAAAACATGATTATACTGTGGGCTTTTTGACTGTTGTTGTTGTTGTTTTGGGGTATTTTTTTGCCTTTAAGGGAGAAAAGATGATTAATTTCCTCTTGTATAATAGCACTGATGTCATGTGGGTTGAAGGATTAAGTCCTTTTATTTTTAAAACAGTTGCTAGGGTGTTTAAACCCCTCCTTTTTTTAGCCCTGTTTTTTGTTAGTATCAGCAAAAGGAATAGAAAATCACTTTGAAAAAGAATCTCTTTTTCTTCAGTTTCCATCTAATAGTAACTCAGTGTCTTCAGCTTCTTATTTTTCCAATATGGGGTGATGGGGAAATTGCCAGGTGTTATTAAATCATATTAACTAGTAGCAGTGGGGGGTGGGGGGGGCAACCAGACATTCATTCTTACTTTTCCCCCTCCCTGAAGTGGGATTTAGACCATACAGTCGCAATACGTTATTAATGGAGCAGTAATCTCTGGTAAGCAAACTATGTTCCCTTCTGTCAGACAAAAACCCCAAACCCACTGCTTTTCCTGACAAATACTGCTGAATAAATAAGGCTATGCCAGTAGATCAAATATTTGATTTTTTTTTTAATTCTTTTTTCTTTGCAGAGTATTGGAAAGGGGTCCTTGTGGTGTATAGACCCAGAATATAGACAAAATCTTATTCAGGCTTTGAAAAAGACACCCTATCACCCATATTCGCATGTGTTCAGTACACCTCCCACATCTCAGGCTTATCAAAGGTAAGAACTAGATGCATTTTACAACTCTAAATGTTTTCATCCAGTGTTGCATATGAATCTTGGGTAAGACATTAAATGTAATTAAGTGATGCAGTTTGGAAATGTGCTGGTGAAGAAATCTGGGGAGCAGTGGCACCAGCCTGGCCTCGCTCAGTGTGTGTCTGGGCACCTTAACTGCCCATCCTGTTCCCCTGCATGGCAGTGAGTCCGGAGCTAAGCTTGCCACTCGTGAGCTATGGAGCCTTTAGCAGGAGAACACCTGTGATTAAAATGCATATAAGCCAGTGGAGAGCTCTGAAGTGTCCAGTGATCCCCTTGGCTGTAGGTGAAAGCACAGTACCCTTGGTTGGAGGAGATGGGCTCGTTTTCCCCCCCCAGGTGCAATACAGGACTGGTTGTGCAACTGCTGGGTTTCCACAAGAGCCTGTGCCCGGATGGCAGACATCCTCTGTCACAGGTACTGCTCCCGGGGCAGTGCCAGCCATGGGTGATCCTAGAGGACCCTGGGGACAGCAAGAGCTGTTTCTCTGCCTGTCTGCAGTGACAAAGGCATGCAGTGGACTCTTTCCTTTGCTTTGCATTTGTTTTGATGTGGCCGCGGCTAATGTTAGCAAAGGAAGAGAGTTTATCTACAGCTGCTGCCTGCCAAGCCAGGAGCAAACAGTGGGTTTTGACACAACTGCTTCTCTCGCTGTGTGAAGAAATTTTCGTCACTTTTTCCCGATGTTGTTGGCTCGGTCACGACTGGGTCAGACAGGCCTGTGATGGGCTGCGCAGCGTGGCACCCCACACATCCGGAGGGGTCTGACCCGGCCATGGCAGCGATCAGCAGCACCACCTGGACTAAGAAGTGGGGTTCGGGGACGGAGGAGAATGGGAGTTGATGAGTTTCAGCCCGAGCCATGTCATCGCTCGAGTTGAGGCTGGGGAGGGGAGGAGGACGAGGCCGTGGGGCTGGCGCGGGAGAGGCCGCCGGCGCCCGCCCGCCCATCCTGCCCGAAGAGCGTGATGGTAGCCATAGCAACGCGGGCGTCACCCTGGCAACGCGTAGCCCAGGCCGGTGCAGTTGCATCACGGGGCCGCGCGGCGCTGCCTGACGGGAGGTCCGGGCGCGCGCCGTTGCCGTGGTGACGGTGACCCCGCGCGGCGGCCGCTGCCGCACGGCCCGTTTTGAACGCGGGGATCCCGCGCCGGGCCTCGCGTTCTGAGGCGAGCGGCAGCTGGGGTGTCCTGAGGCAGCGCAGCCGCAGCGCTGGCTGGCGTACACCTGCGAGAGACAGATTGCCGAAGAGCCACCTCTAGAAGGGTTCTTTTTCCACTGTGCCTTTTTCCTGGCTCCCGTTTCGATCCCAGTGCTGCTGTGCTTTGCAGGACAGATAAATAACTGAACAAAGGCGTTAAAATTGTAATTTGCGTGTTTGAACAAAGCTTGTGCCCAGAGCCTCTATCATTTGTAACCTTTTAAAGAGTATTTTAATTATGCCCATCCAGATTTATTCAGAGGTTCTCCTGTCAAGTAAAAGTGTGATGCGAATCTGACATGGAAATAGAGGGATTTTGATCCCTTGTAATCCCCACAAGCAAAAATTTCAGCAGACACACAGCTGAAATCAGGAGGATCTTGAAGTGACCTTTGCTGGGTTTGCCAGAACTGCTATGCAGTTTGCTGGCAGAGGCTGCTTGCAGGAGCTGTCATCCGGCTTTTCTAGGTAGGGTTGTAGGAATCTGCTCTCTTCCTTTGCTTTCATTAGCCACAGCTATATCAAAACAAATGCAAAGCAAATGAAAGATTCTGCCACGTCCCTATGTCACTGCAGCCAGGCAGAAAACCAGCTCTTGTTGTCCCTCGGCCCCTCCAGGATCACCTGTGGGCCAACACTGCCCAGGGAACACCTCCCATAGTAAGACAGGCTGAGAAAGTTGGGGCTGTTCAGCCTGGAGAAGAGAAGGCTGCGTGGAGACATCATAGCAGCCTTCCAGTATCTGAAGGGGGCCTATAGGGATGCTGGGGAGGGACTCTTCATTAGTAACTGTAGTGATAGGACAAGGGGTAACGGGTTAAAACTTAAACAGAGGAAGTTTAGATTGGATATAAGGAGGAAGTTCTTTACTGTAACGGTGGTGAGGCACTGGAATGGGTTGCCCAAGGAAATTGTGAATGCTCCATCCCTGGCAGTGTTCAAGACCAGGTTAGACAGAGTCTTGGGTGACATGGTCTAGAGTGAGGCGTCCCTGCCCATGGCAGGGGGATTGGAACTAGATGATCTTAAGGACTTTTCCAGCCCAAACCAGTCTGTGATTCTCAGTGATGCAGCAGCAGTGCTGGCACGAGCAGTCCTTGCAGGGACAAGCCCACAGAGATGCCCCATTGGGCACTGGGTGTCAGGGAGCCTGCCCGGGATGGCTGCCCAGCATCCTGCACAGCCATGTGCCTGCCACTCTCCCATCCTCATCCTCACTGCCTGTTGCAAAGGATGCCTGCATAGCCGCAGATCTTGGGCAAAAGCCATGCTGCCCTCTTCTAACGGGGTGGGGTGGCCAGAACCTTGCAGCATGTTTCCATGTGTGGGAGAGAAGACATGTACTGACACATGCCAAAGAACATGGGATTCGATTCAGGAAAGTGTTTTGAAAGATTGCCTGCTCTCACCAATGCCCAGTTGTCTCCTGAGCAGGGGAGGGGAAGGGTGCTTCTGAAATGCCTGCAAGTGAGTCCCAAAACCAACTGGGAAACGTCCTCTCTTTGGAAGCTGTAGAATGTCAGGGCTGCTGCTGCACTGCTTGTACTTCCAAGCAGTTTTGAGTCTTCATTGTAATGACTGTATCATAAAACAAAGAGCTTGCGTGTCTGCAGCAGCAAATGCCTTGCAAAGAGAGGCCCAAAGGAGGCCAGGTTTTGTATGAAGAAATTGTTGTCTAGCTATTATTTTTAGCTGGCTATCATTCAGCAGTTCTGCTGTTACATAAAACTTAATCTTCCCATGGTCTTCTAAAATATTTATTTATTCATCTACTAATGACTGGTGAAACATCAACATGAGGCTAGTCTAGGCCATCAGTGACTGTCAATTTAATTATGCATTGGCAGTTACATGGTGAAATATATATGTATTTTTTTTCAAATATATTTCTAATGTATTCACAAGAAGTACATTTGGAAAAAAATGTAATCCCAAATGTTAGTGATTGCTTTCTTATGTGTACAGACTTCAGCAACGGATAGAAAATGTAAATCTTCTCCTCCATCATCAGATCACCACATTGTCATAGTAACAAATTCCAAGGGGAATTCTTCTGATGGTGGAGATAATATGTCTAGAAATAATCTTTGGGTGACAGAGGTTTTGCTTTCCACCCATCTTACATAACTGAAGTCCACAACTAAGAGAAACTGTGTCAGTTGATACTAATGAAATATGACTGGAACCAGATAGTTGGCCAGTATTACTCCTGCCTCTAGGAATGGGATTAATTGAAGGAATTACAATGTTCATAAGGTGTGATTCTGTAAGGGCAAATTGACCTATTGTTTGTCTTTATGAGATGTTTTAAAAGAATAAGGATACACAAATGAATCACATGTTCTGTTTAGTATCTGCATAAGCAGCTTAGGGGTGAATTGAGCACAGAGTGGAAGAGTGTATTGTAAAAATATCCCAAGGAAGATGATCATTGAACAGACAGATTCTCCTCTGCTGAGCACAGTTAATTACATCAAATAATTTAGCTTTACAACTTCACTAGAGCATCCTGCATAAACATAACAGGGAGGAGTTTTGTGATGTGAACCTATGTGTTTGGATGGCTGAGTCAGTGTTGTATCATTTGAGATTGGACATTTGACTCAAACCAGGAATTCTGAATTACATTGGCCTCCATGTATAGAAGACCTTTTCTTATTTTTTTTTTTTTTTAAAAGCAACCTTGCAGTATTTGTATATAAAAAGGAACTTCTGCTTACAGTTACCTGAATTGCTACTGCAATTCAGGGTGAAGTTAATCTGTAAGATGTAATAATAATAATAATAATAATAATAATAAAATAATGTGAATTATTTAATTTTAATTGGATTGGATGTGTATTCTTAAAAATTAATAGTCATGCCAAACAAGAAGCAACCCTTGGATTTTTATCTGGTTCTTATAACTGAAGCATATATCATGTCACTTAAAATGAATTTCAGGGGTGAACTAGCACTGATACATAGTGTTATAATGAAAAAACTCCTTGGATTGGAAAAATCTGTACTTTAGTGTAATGTGGTTTTTTTTAAATATTTACAGTTCTGTTGGCAATACAGTTTCAAGCAACCTTGAAATCTATTTATAGGCACAAACTTGGTTAAGTAACTATGTAAGTCAGTGCCCTTCCAGTTTTCTGACTCATGACTGAACTGTGTAGGTTGTCATGGTTTTAAGCCCAGCCGGCAACCCAGAACCACGTAGCTGCTCGCCCATTCCCCCTCCTTCCTTCCCACGCTCCTGGAGGGATGGGGAGGAGAATCAAAAGAATGTAACTCCCATGGGTTGAGATAAAAACAGTCCAGTAATTAAGGTATAACACAAATCACTGCTGCTACCACCAACAATAATGATAAGGAAATAACAAGGGAAGAGAATACAACCGCTCACCACCCGCTGACCGATACCCAGCCTGACCCGAGCAGTGATCTAACCCTTATGGGTAACTGCCCCCAGTTTATATAGTGGGCATGACATGCTGTGGTATGGAATACCTCTTTGGCTAGTTTGGGTCAGGTGTCCTGTCTCTACTCCCTCCTGGCTTCCTCTCCTCCCTGGAGGAGCATGAGACTCAGGAAGTCCTTGGTCAGAGTAAACATACTGAGCAACAACTAAAACCATTGGTGTTATCAATGCTGTTCCCAGGCTGAAAGTCAAAACCACAGCACTACACCAGCTACTAAGAAGGAGAAAAATGACTGCTACTGCTTAATGCAGGACAGTAGGTATAGGGATTTTCTCTTCTAGTAGTACTTTGA